TTTAATCCCTGCTCTCAAAAGGCGTTCCAACTCTTCTTCTGACTCCTTCAGAATGCCAGGCATGAGTCACTGTTCTGCTCTCATCAAGGTTAGAGGTAAAATGATGCCTTCACCTCATGACTGTAATCACATATTCTGAATTGGGACCAAATGTAATAGGAATTTGCCAATAAAAACCCCATGTCAGGGGTTTTCAATAGCACTAATCTGAATATTTAGGGCTGCCTGTGTTGGAAATGGCTTTGTTTCATTCGCCAACAACCTTCTGTCATTTGTTTTTGCCCATTTTATCTGCAGATGTTACCTGGCTATGAGAATCTGTTGCTTGGTCACTCCAGCTGGTACAGCTATGCTGCAAGCATGAGAATCTACAAGCACTGGGACTTGAAAAATAAGCATAATGGCACAAGCAGACTGTCCTTTAGCAGCTACCCTGGTATATATAGGCAGATGTATGTCTTTTATAATTCAAACTAACAATAATTTAGTGCTATTAAACGGTTTCTCGCATCATTTCCAGGGATCTTGTCATCTCTGGATGATTTTTATTTGCTGGGAACAGGATTGCTTGTAACTCAAACCACAAACAACGTGTTCAACTCCTCTCTGTTCTCCCTGGTGACCCCAGAGGCTTTGCTTGCCTGGCAAAGGGTGCGTGTAGCACATGCGCTGGCCTGCACAGGGAAGCAATGGGCCCAAATATTTTGCCAGGACAATTCGGGTGAGACGGAGATGCACAAGGCAAATGTGGATCATTATATGCAAAAATTGTGTTCCGTATTTGCAGTGCTCTGTGGTGTCGTCTTTCAATAGTACAACCGAGTTGAAAGCATACAGTTCTCTAGCGTGTGATTGCATGCTATAGCATTAAATTTCTCACTCTCAGTCCCACCCTCATGCTTTAAAAAAAAGAAGCATGCATTTTATTCTTTAGCTAGAACACAAAAGTAGATATTTGGGAGAATGTTTCAACTGATTTTGTCTTTATAATCATGGTCAATTGGGTCCAAAACAACACTAAGATATTTTTCAAAATATCTTCTTTTGTGTTCAACAGAATAAAGAAATGCATACAAATTTTAATATTTAAATTTACATTTAGCAGACACTTTTATCCAAAGCGACTTACAAATGAGGGCAATGGAAGCAATCAAAATCAACAAAAGAGCAACGATATGCAAGTGCTATGACAAGTCTCAGCCTAACGGTCTTTTTTTATTATATAATAAATAAAAAGAAAACAGATAGAATAGAAAAAGAATAGAGAAGCTAGTGTTAGTTTTTATTTTAAGAAAACAAGCAGTTAGTAAATGAACAGAGTGCAAGTCTAAAAGGGGCAAGTTTTTTTTTTAAATAATAGAATTAGATATATATGTATATATGTATATATGTGTGTGTGTGTGTGTGTGGTGTGTGTGTGTGTATATATGGCTTTTTTATTTTCAATTATTTTCTGAATGAATTTTGTCAGGGACCTACAATAACCAGTATATGGTGGTGGATCTGAAAAGAGTTTCACTTGGAAAGCAGATTGAGGATTGGAGTCTGACTGTTGTGGAGCAGATTCCTGGTTTGGTGTTGTACTCGGATCAGTCACAAGCGCTACGTCATGGTGAGGAGTATTTTCATAACAAGAAAAGTAGTATGATCAGTCCATTGGAAATTAATTGGAGAGGATGTAAGTAAATTTAACACAATCATATGCATTACAAATCATCTCAATAGGTTACTGGGCATCCTACAACATACCTTTCCACTCAGACATTTACCGAATGAGTGGTTATGGTGTGATGTGGAAAAAGTACGGGGGAGACTTCTCATATGACCTCTGTCCACGTGCTAAAATTTTCCGCAGGGACCAGGGAAAAGTCACTAATCTGGACACCTTGAAATACATTATGAGGTACAATGGTGAGTTTAGATTTTCGTTTTGGAAATGACTCAAAACTGTTTCTTCAAAATAATCTGCCCTCTTGTTAATCTAATTTTTTGATGAACAGTAGCACTTTGTCATTAGATTACAGAAAGGACCCATATTCAAAGAAGCATCCTTGTAAATCCATCTGCTGCTGAAATGACCTGAGACTTCGACGACCTCATCCAGGGGGCTGTTATGATACTAAGGTACAGAAATAGGTCATTTTGGTCAATGTGTTATTATTACATAAAAACTAGTAAAGATACAGTGTGATTCTAATGGAGGCTGCATGCATTTAGGTTACAGATTATCACATGGCCCAGATGTTTTCGGCTGAAGCTGTGAATGGACCCACTACTCAGATGGTCTTCCACTTTTCTCTTGGAGCCGTTTTAATCGGACAGCTCATCATGGGCTCCCTCAGACGTACAACTTTACATTCATCAGCATGCAGCCTTTGCTCTTTGCTTCCAGAGATCAAGCCAAGACTGATAGTAGTTTTGTACAGTGTATGAACAGCAGTCTAGAGGATACAGATGCAAGACTTGGAAAGGATTTCATCGATTTAGCATCAGATATTTACAAGCAGCTTCATAAAGTCATTGGGTACATTTTTGCCCCATAAAACTTTTTGTGCAACTGAATGCATAATACTTCCAATCAGAGCTGGACATATGTTTATGCAATAAAAGACTACAGTAACAAATATTTGCCCTAACTTGTATAATTTGTGTTAATGACAAAGCTCATGGTCATAAATATTAACAAATTACCAATAAAATGTATCAATGCAGTCATTTAAGATTAAGATAAACTGAGCTGAACAATGTCAGACTAAGTAGTGTTATCTTACTTTTTCACTGGAGAAAGCAATAGTATGGATAGAGAACCTGTTAAATTAAAAAAAAAAAAACAGAGCTTTTCATTTCACAGCACATTCATTGGAGATGGACTGGTGTCATGTGGATTACTTGTAGATTATTGTAATGTATTTGTCAGCTGTTTGGACTCATTCTGACGGCACCCATTTGCTGCAGAGGATCCACTGGTGAGCAAGTGACGTAACTAAAAAATGTAACAATTTTTACCAAATTTTTTCAATTATAAAATTATAAATTATATTAAAGTATTGTAAATGTTGTTATTTATATAAATCTATTTTCTGTCTTTGCAAGCTTAATAATTTGTAAATACAGACTGAATAAATGTTGAATTTACACCATAAATGGATGTTTAATTTTATTATGTGTTAATCATATATGGGGTCAAAAGTATGAAACCAATAGTAAAAAGACTTAAAGTGATTAAATATTAATGCCCTTCTAATTCACCTTAATATTCAGATTAGTGGTCTATCGCACTGGTTTGCAAGGCCAGTTTTAAAACTTTTATCTTTGACTCTCCCAATCTTGAATATTTTGTTACAGCCTCGTTACAAACTATATTATCAGCACAATAAATTGAGTAAATGGTATTTGACTGATTCCACAGCATCACTCGATCTGCATCAACTAGCCTAAAGGGGTGGTTGTTGCGAGTTCACTTTTTTTAATGTTAGTTAGTGTGTAATGTTGCTGTTTGAGCATAAACAATATCTGCAAAGTTACGAAGCTGAAGGTTCAATGCAAACGGAGATTTGTCGGTCCTCAAATGTCATTCCTTGTGTTCCAGTGTCTCTTACGTTCCCTGTGTGATCATTAAATACTGTGAATTGAAGTTATCGCTGTGTTTCCTCAGTCCTCGCTCCTTGCCTCCCGAGAAGTGTGACAATATGCTTAAACATTATGATTTGTACTCATGGAAATTACTAAAGAAGTCAAACCTGTTTATTAGAAGGGGGTGTCCCAATACTTTTGGCAATATAGTGTACAAGCCAACCTAGCTATTCAAAATCTTTGTCTGCAATTGTATAATATTGACCTATTAGCCTACTTTTGCTATTGCTTTTGACCATTAGGTATCAGTAACATAATTCATTCAGAACCTGTTCTATTGACATAGACTTTCTGTGCCACACTATTCTGCTGATATAGAATGAGTTTGACTACTTGATCAGTTATATTAATAGAAATGCTTCACTGGGGCAAACAAAAAAATCCTACAATAATAAATAGGATACCCCATCGCAGCATTTCCAGCAGTATCCAACATTTCTCAATGGTGATCGTGATTTCACCAAGTACAACATGTTCCTGGATCAACATCCTTGTTGCTCCTGGAACAACATTCCCATCAACCAATCAGAATTGAGAGATAACTTTTCAGGAAATATCTGTTTTAGGCTTACAATCAGGGTTAGGTGCTTCTACACCCTTGTTAATCAGCTATCATTTCACACTGTTTTTAGGAATAAATTATGGGTAGGGTTAGGTTTAGGGGTAGGGATTGGGTTTAGTCTATATTTTTGGACAGTTATGTTGATCCAGGATCAACAAAAGATGTTGATCCAGGAACATGTCTTACTACAAAATCACAGCGACCTTTCTCAATCATGATCTTACTCAGCAAAATGTGACTATTAGCTTAACAGCTGTATTCCTTGTTTGATAGCTACCTATGCACATACAGCATACAATGTTAAAAATGTTGTACATTATGAACCTTAACCCAAAACCCTTTAGCTTCATACACTGTAGATAATTGTGACCCTGCCTGTGGAAACCCAGCTAAAGTATTTTTTTTAAACAGTGGATGAGTAATTCACTCCTTGATTTGCTAAATAAAAGCCTCCGTTGAGATCGTTTTGACAAATGTTTATTGTGTATTATTTTCAACGTGTTTATTGCTAACTTTAGTGTGGCAAAATAGAAGCGCAGCCGAAGCATTAACACGTTAGACTGCACCCCATAAACACAATCAAGCCTAGAAAAAAAAACAGTGAACCACTGTGTACAACCTGACAATCCTTTTACCAGAATAATTTGAGAATGTACCAAAGAGCAAGTCGATTAATGCCTTAGACATAGAGCAGAATCTTAAATATTCATTGCTGTTAATGCATAAATACATCCAGCATCCTATAATCTGCGCAGGTCAAAAGAGCATCGACGGGCAAGTGGGCGGGACTAACACATCGCAGGATACGAGCCAATCAACTGCCGCGCTTTATTCCACTTTTATGATACGAACGAAACCGGCAGCACACCGCTTCACCGCGGGAGCCAGAACGGCATCAGAACAGCATCCGAGCCGCACCGACAGCCCGCTTACATACCGCCCGCCAGCCTCAGAGTAGTTCCCTAATGGCAACGGAGGACAAAGGAAAAACGGCGGCGCCTCAGGCTTTACCGGAAACGGGATCCCTCTCAGCAACGCACAGCAATCTGAACAATAATAACAACAACAATAATAACAACAAAGACAACGAGGGAAGCGAAGGAGCCACAACAGCCACATCTACTGCTGTTGAATCCGGCGGGGCTGAAAATATAATAGGAAACGGTTCAGCTGTTAATACTGCCGGGGGCAATAACGGCAAATGGGTCCGTCTCAACGTCGGGGGGACGGTGTTTCTAACGACACGACAAACGCTGCTAAAGGAGCAGACTTCATTTCTGTACCGACTGTGTCAGCAGCAGGACTTACACTCTGACACGGTAAGGCAGCAGTGAGTGATGTTAGTGTAAGACTGTGTATTAATGAGGCAGCGGGGGTCTTCAGTCAGATGGATGCACAATAATTCGGACCCCCAGTGTTTGTGCAGTTGAGGTGCGTCGCAGTTATTAGCTAGAAATATCCATATTGTACTCCACGATGCCTTCATCAGATAATGTGGCCCACCTGATGCTGACTTTGTACAGAGGGAAGTTCTTGGATCATCAGCACACCCTTACTGGGTTGAATCTCATGAAATTATATGTTACATTTAGATAATTTAGATATAACTACATTTATATAATAACTATTATTATTATTGACAACTTGTTTAATATTTAAAGATTTAATAATAATAATAATAATAATAATGATGATGATGAAACCATAATATTTAACTTTTTAAATTTGTAACTTTTTAATTTTATGAATACAATGTTTTTAACAGAATATTTTAAAGGTAATTATGTAATCATAATTAAAATGTCAAAATTAACATTCTGTCATCGTTTTCTCACCCTCATGTCATTCCAAAACTGTATGGATTTCTTTCTTCTGTGGAGCACAAAAGAAGGTATGTGACCCTGGAGCACAAAACCAGTCATAAGTCGCAGGGGTATATTTGTAGCAATAGCCAACAATACACTGTATGGGTCAAAATTATCGATTTTTTTATGCCAAATATTATTACGACATTAAGTAAAGATCATGTTCCATGAAGATATTTTGTAAATTTCCTACCGTAAATATATAAAAACTTAATTTTTGATTAGTAATAGGACAACTTTCATTTAGACTTTTTTGCACCCTCAGATTCCAGATATTCAAATAGTTGTATCTCTTCTCGGCCAAATATTGTCCTAACAAAACACACCAAGGGAATATATGATATCTCAATTTCAAAAAATCGACCCTTGTGACTGGTTTTGTGGTCCAGGGTCACATATTTTAAAGAATGTTGGAGACCAAACAACATTGGAGCCCTTTGACGTCCATTGTATGTATAGACACTTAAACATTTCCTCAAATATCCTCCTCATATATTTTTTATGTTCCACAGAAGAAAGTAAGTCATACATGTTTGGTACAAGATGAGGGTGACTAAATAATGACAGATTTTTCATTTTTGGGTGGAGTATCTCTTTAATGTTAGGATACTTGACTTGTTGTTAAATAGCCAAAGTGAAATGAGGCCTATGATAATCCAAATAAAGCATCCATATCTTATAGAACTGATCTGTCAGAATGTAGAGCACATGCCAGAAGTTCCAGTGGGACCAAAGCAAATATCACCATACGCCAACTCTTCTGTGAAGGGGGTCTTATCACTGACCCACTGCAATAAAATGTTTCTTCTGACAGCAAAGGTTCATATATTACGTAATTTCCTGTTAGCAGGTCTTTATGTGTCTGCTCGGAAGGCCCAAATCGAATAAACCTGGATGTAATTCTAATTGGATGCCAAATATAATTTTTCAATATTTCCAATACCTACAACCTGCAATAAGGTACCTATTTCTGTTTTACATTTTTCAAAATCACCTTTGTGATTTTGGGGTGAAATGTTGTGAGCTTTACGCATATACAGTATGTTATTTTTAGCTCCCATTTACTCTTTTAATCTTACAGCACTAAGGCATACAAAAAGTATTTGACTTAACAGATGGTACTCTGCCTTCACAGTATCCACCCCCTCCCAAGCTATCCTCTTATATTCCCTCTTATTCCACACTCAAAGTACCTCCATCCCCACAATAAGTGATGAGGCACAGGCGGTCTCCCATCACAGCTCAGTTATTACTGGCTGCTGTGGTGTTTTGTGCTCTCTCACTGCTCATGTCACTCTTCTAATGAGATTAGAGTCATGGCACCTTGAAGACTCCCAGCCCTCTGCACAAAAATATCTATGGAGGCTTCTCTGTTCTATTCCTGGCCTGGTCTGTTCTTCGCTGATAGTTTACATGCATTTAAAGAGTTTTAAGTTTATAGAATCATTGTGTTGAGCCAGAAAATTGTTTGCAATTGAGAAATTCTAACTGGAAAGTCTGTCATGATTTTTCTCACCCTCATGTCGTTCCAAAACAGTATGACTTAGTTTTTTCTGTAGAACATAAAAAATATATTTTGAAGAATGTTGGTAACCAAACAGTTTTGGTTCCCATTGACTTAAATTGTTGTGTGTGTGTGTGTGTGTGTGTGTGTTTTTGTATATACAATGGAAGTCAGTGGGAAAGAAACTGTTTGGTTACTATCATTCTTCAAAATATCTTCTTTTATGTTCCACAGAAGAAAATAAGTCTCATGATTCTGGAATGAAATTAGGGTGAGTAAATGATGACAGATTTTTCATTGCTGGGTGGACTACCCCTTTAAAGGGGTCATATGATGTTGCTAAAAAGAACATTATTTTGTGTATTTGGTTTAATGAAATGTGTTTATGCGGTTTAAGGTTAAAAAAACACATTATTTTCCACATACTGTACATTATTGTTTCTCCTCTATGCCCCGCCTTTCTGAAACGCATCGATTTTTACAAAGCTCATCGGTCTGAAAAGCGAGGTGTGCTCTGATTGGCCAGCTATCCAGTGCGTTGTGATTGGCCGAATACCTCAAGCGTGTGACGGAAATGTTGTGCCCCTTAACATATTGTGATGCCTTGTCCCGGCCGGAGCAACGACACAAAAACTTTAAAACCCATTATAAACGAGGCATTTGTTGCATCCAGTGGCAATGTCTGCATTTGTGATCGGAGAAATGACAAAACAACAAGTGCTACTCTACACTGCTCAAAACTCGCGTTTGAATCATCAGTGGCACAGCGTCACACACGGCGGGCTAGAGTGAGCGGATGCTGGAGGCCTAGAGTAAGCAGAGGCCGGCTTGAGTGAGCAGTGGCGGGCGGGCTTGCGGCAACCACATGTGGCGACTATGTCCCCTTTAAGACGTGTCTTACTTTTTTTTTCATGAGGAGGTATTGACTATTATTACAGTGAATATTATTAGGTAGTTTCTCTGCATCTTTAATGAGAATGTGCTTATAACATGAGCCAGAATTGATGAAGTTCAAATAGTTTTTCAGCTTTCTTATAGCATGCTGTGAGGCTTTACATGGCACAGGTTATTATGCAGTTCTGTTTTGAAATTAATAAGCTCTTTGTTTGCCTACCAGGCATTTCCCATGGGATGCAGGCTTGCAGCTAGTTTCCCATCGGGACCTGGTTCTTATACTTCCTTGTGCAACTGCAGAGTTAAATGTTAACGCAAGATAAACACGGATAGATGAATTTGAAATTAGACGGCTGAATTCTGTGCATTTAAGGCATATACAGTAGAATTATGTAAATGCCCTGTGCTTTCTCTTGTTCTTGTGAAATCCAGAGCGGGGGGACAGCTTGTCTCTTCTGACTCACTGCAGGAGTCATGCGCAGGTGTTGTCATGCCTGCTGTCAAGTCTAGTCATGTCTAATGTGAGGCTGTCTGCTGCACTTGCTGTTTCGAAAATAGGATTTGTGTGTGTGTGTGTGTGTGTGTGTGTGCATGTGCAAATGATGTTCTGTGCTACTTTTGTCTGTGAGATTTTATGGAGCTAATGGAAATATTTTGATGCTTTTTCAGCTCTGTATGTGATCATCTGTTTGGTGTATGCTAGTATGTATGCTGTTCGTGTCCATGTCGTGAATCTAGAGTGAGTCATGCAGGGTCCAAAATTAATGGAAGGTGAAATAAGAAAATTTACCAGGCATGAATATTTCATATGGGCCATGCAACTGTATTTTATATTATTTATTTTAAACTATACAATACTGTGCAATAATAATAATAATAATAATAATACTTTTATTTATCAAGGTCACATTAAATTGATCAAAAGTGACAGAAAATAAATTTATAATTTTACAAAAGATTTCTGTTTCAAATAATGCTGTTCTTTTGAACTTTCTATTCATCTAAGAATCCACAAAACAATATTAACTATCTAATTAACTATTACCGGCACAACTGTTTTCAGCACTGATAATAACAAGAATTATTTCTTGAGCACCAGTCATCAGAATGATTTCTGAAGGATCACTTAAGTTGACACTGAAAAGTCAGCTTAACCATAACAGAAATATATTACCTTTTAAAATACATTAAAATAAAAGTCAATTATTTTAAATCGTAATAATGTCATAAAATATTACTGCTTTTACTGTATTTTTGATCAAATAAATGCAGCCTTGGTGAGCATAAGAGACAAGTACTTAACATTGTTTTTCTTGCCAAAGCCACTTTTACCTCTTTTTTTGTGATTGGTGAGTGTTCATTTACTATAGGCTACAGGATAAATCACTTTTTGTGTAGGTATGTTGTTCATGTTCATTTTCATGTTGTGAATCTGCAGTGAGTTATCTCATTTATGCTTTCTTCTTTCTCTATTATAGTGGTTTTATAACATTGCAGACAGTGCCTCTTTTCAGTCTTGCCAACATCTTCCTCTTTCTTTTTACCTTTTTCACCCTTGTGTGCTTCTGTGCACTCCCTTTTTCTCTTGTTGCTCTTTGTGGGTTTTGAGTGCTCATGCCCTGGGCTTAGTTGTGTAATGTTCTCTGTAGGGCATGTTGTAGCCTACATGATGTCCTGCTCTTGTTAGAGCTGTGTCGAGCTCTTAAGGTTAATTCATTGCGGAGAGGAGACCCTCAGCCATTCTGGGACAAATACTGTGGCCATGCTAATGTGACCTGCGCTCACTGCCACTTTCCACATGCCCTTTCCTTTAATGTTGTTTTCTGTCTTGTGCCAAGTCACATTTTTATCCCCTGGGGTTATGTACTGTTCAGATCATCCTGTTAGTGTTGGGCGATATGCTCAATTTTCATATCGTCCTATCTTCAGCCTGTGAAATCGCCAATACACGATATTATCGTGCGAATAATTTATTTAATTATTTATTTACTTGGTTTCATTGCCGGTGTCGTGCTGAAAATTGATCGTCTGCCGAAAACTGATTGCCGTCCGCGTCCGTCCGACATGGATCCATCCGTCCGTCCGACAACATCCGTACACTTGCCAAAAGGAGATTACAGACTCTACTTAGTGAGTGAACTGTTCTTTCTGCCTCAAAATTACTTTTTTGATATGATATTTGATAGATTCTAGCTCATTTAGTCCTTTTTACCTATTGAAATATCTTTAAATGGCCAATAAAACCCATAAAATGCAGTTTTACACTTGCCAAAAAATGAACTGTTCTTTCTGCCTCAAAATGACGTGATTTCATTCATGGTTGTTGTCAGAGTATTTCAACAGGTAAAAAGGACTGAATGAGCTATAATCTGTCAAATATAACAACAATTAATGAAATCAAGTCATTTTGAGGCAGAAATAACAGTTCACTCAATAAGTAGAGTCTGTAATCACTTTTTGGCCAGCGTAAAACGGACGGACGGACGCGGACGGCAATCAGTTTTCGGCAGACGATCGATTTTCGGCATGACACCGGAAAGCGAACCAACTCCAGCGTAAGGCTAAAAGCAGGCTAATGTTTTTAATATGACTGAATTTGCAATTAACATGATAACAAATTAATAGAAACATCGTAAGGTACTAATTATAAGGCTTACATTTCCTCAGTTATTCAAAAAAGCAGCTACAGAAAACGGTAATTACATTACCAAAGAACATCATCACAAGCTCAGTCTAGCGTGAGTTTATGCACTTTAAAACACTCCGGTTATAATCAGTGATGCTACACTGTATGATGAATAAATCTCTTATACTTACATTGCACTTTGTTGTTTATGATGAGAGAATTCGCGAGTCAGAATTCAGTCAGCGTGCGCTGAACAACTGCTGTTTCAGCAATAACTCATCTGAACGCCTCTGATTGGCCATTGCATTCATAAGCTCAGCATAATCGTGTGTGATTGGTTATAACGTGCAACACTGTAAAAACGCGGAAAAAGAAATATAATGCAACAAATAAGCCCTAATATTAATTAGATAGTATTACTAGCCTGATAATAATAATCGTCAAAGGCATCAGCCCCAGGCAACATCTCTGACTATCTTCGATTAGGGGTGTCAAAATTAATCGATGCGGACGTGGACGATTCTGCTTCGCTGCAGTAATAGAACATAATAATCGATTATAACCTATGACATTATTCGCATACGCACTTGTCACGCGAGTATTAAAAATGCACTCTATTTTTAAATCGGAGCTTGGCTTTTTCCGCATATGGCACGTGCATGCGCTAGAGACGAACGCGGCGGGCTTCATTGCACAGAATAAGTAGGGATGGGCGTATCGATCCGAAGTATTGATACTGACGCGAGTATCGAAAGTATCGATACTCAAACAAAAAATATCGATACTAAGGTGCGCTTTATTTACCAGTGGTTTTGTTTATTTAACAATAATAATAATAATAATGCGTACAATATGCATTGAATTGGACGAATAACCGTTGTTAGCGAGTAATTGTGTAGGATAGAACTATTTCCCTGCTCATCTGAACACACGCAAATGTTGCAAGACAGAACCAATCAATCACAGAGAGCATTCACTCACTGCTAACAGTGCATTCAACAGTTCACTCAATAAGTAGAGTCTGTAATCACTTTTTGGCCAGCGTAAAACGGACGGACGGACGCGGACGGCAATCAGTTTTCGGCAGACGATCGATTTTCGGCATGACACCGGAAAGCGAACCAACTCCAGCGTAAGGCTAAAAGCAGGCTAATGTTTTTAATATGACTGAATTTGCAATTAACATGATAACAAATTAATAGAAACATCGTAAGGTACTAATTATAAGGCTTACATTTCCTCAGTTATTCAAAAAAGCAGCTACAGAAAACGGTAATTACATTACCAAAGAACATCATCACAAGCTCAGTCTAGCGTGAGTTTATGCACTTTAAAACACTCCGGTTATAATCAGTGATGCTACACTGTATGATGAATAAATCTCTTATACTTACATTGCACTTTGTTGTTTATGATGAGAGAATTCGCGAGTCAGAATTCAGTCAGCGTGCGCTGAACAACTGCTGTTTCAGCAATAACTCATCTGAACGCCTCTGATTGGCCATTGCATTCATAAGCTCAGCATAATCGTGTGTGATTGGTTATAACGTGCAACACTGTAAAAACGCGGAAAAAGAAATATAATGCAACAAATAAGCCCTAATATTAATTAGATAGTATTACTAGCCTGATAATAATAATCGTCAAAGGCATCAGCCCCAGGCAACATCTCTGACTATCTTCGATTAGGGGTGTCAAAATTAATCGATGCGGACGTGGACGATTCTGCTTCGCTGCAGTAATAGAACATAATAATCGATTATAACCTATGACATTATTCGCATACGCACTTGTCACGCGAGTATTAAAAATGCACTCTATTTTTAAATCGGAGCTTGGCTTTTTCCGCATATGGCACGTGCATGCGCTAGAGACGAACGCGGCGGGCTTCATTGCACAGAATAAGTAGGGATGGGCGTATCGATCCGAAGTATTGATACTGACGCGAGTATCGAAAGTATCGATACTCAAACAAAAAATATCGATACTAAGGTGCGCTTTATTTACCAGTGGTTTTGTTTATTTAACAATAATAATAATAATAATGCGTACAATATGCATTGAATTGGACGAATAACCGTTGTTAGCGAGTAATTGTGTAGGATAGAACTATTTCCCTGCTCATCTGAACACACGCAAATGTTGCAAGACAGAACCAATCAATCACAGAGAGCATTCACTCACTGCTAACAGTGCATTCAAACTGGGCTGCGTTTCCCAAAAGTATCATAAGAAAGCATTAAAGCTTTTGGGAATGGCAGCCCTGAACAATGCTTATCAGAGAACAGAAATAAAAACATAAATGTTTGAGTTATTTCACAATAAACAAATTGAAATTGTAGCCTACATAGTTTGTGCAATTACAATTATTTAAATTGAACGTTGAAAGATAATATTGATCATGTTTTATTCTGTAATGTTAATAGAAATCATACACTGTCCGAATAAAAAGGTTGCATTTTATGCATGCAACAGCCATTCACTGGCAGTCCCTAATGGCAGTACAAAATATTGCACTAAATCAAATGTTACAAATAAGTTAGAATATTAATGTTGTAATACTGGTAGCACTAATATAAAAATGTGATGATATATGTTACAAAAAAGTAACAATTTTGAGTGGTTTTCATTACCCATTTTACTCTTAGTAATTTAATAATATAATTCATAATTTAAAAGTTTAGTGCAGAAATATCGAATCGGTATCGATATCAACGATACTGCCTTGAAAAATATCGGTATCGTATCGAAAACAAAATAAGGGGTATCGCCCATCCCTAAGAATAAGTGCTGTGAGACACGTGCGCATTGCTTGACAGTGCTTCCACTCGCTGTTATTTTAGTCTTTTACTTTAGATATGCTTTCATTTCTGCCGTTTGGAATGCAGCACGTATTAGATGCACGAAACTCACGTACTGACAGACTTTCACGTGAGCTTTGTGTTTGTTTGTCCTGAAGCTCGCGCCTGCGATTAAATGCACTTGCATCTACTTTTATGATACGAAATTGATGTAAACATAGCCAGTTATATTTTCAGAACAGGACAAAACATCTGATATGTGGAAATAGATCTGTGCATTAGTGTGAATGCAGTCTATTAAAGCTGCCAGTGTCTATGATCTCATCAGTAATAATCAAATGGCAATAATGCTGAGAAAAAAGAAAAACCCATAACTATGATAATCTGTACACTTTCTATACTTAAAGCCCTCCCAGATACTGAAAGTGCTTTTTGTTTATCACTTGTAATTGTCTTTTACCCCCTTTATTACTTTATATTTGCTTGTATGTTTTGAAGCTATATTTTCTTTTAATTCTTAACAATAATGAATTAATTATATAAGTTGTGGGGGAAGTCGTGGCCTAATGGTTACAGAGTCGGACTCGTAACCCAAAGGTTGCGGGTTCGAGTCTCGTACCGGCAGGGATTGTAGGTGGGGGGAGTGAATGTACAGCACTCTCTCCCACCTTCAATACCACGACTGAGGTGCCCTTGAGCAAGGCACCGAACCCCCAACTGCTCCCTGGGTGCCGCAGCAAAAAAAAAAAAGGCTGCCCATTGCTCCGGGTGCGTGTTCACGGTGTGTGTGTGTGCACTTTGGATGGGATAAATGCAGAGCACTAATTCCGAGTATGGGTCACCATACTTGGCCACGTCCCATCACGTCACTTTCACTTTAATTTAATAAAAATGCACAAAATCAATTTTATATAATCGTGATGCATCGTGATATCAAATTGAATCGAATCATTGACATGATAATCGTAATCGAATTGAATCGTGAAACCAGTGCCGATTCACACCCCTATCGTCGATACACGATACTATCGTTTATCGGCACAACCCTACATCCTGTACATCCGTTAAACAGCTTCAGCACTGTCAGTGCTACATTTACATAGGGAATTTTCTAACAGTCACCACATTATTAAATATGAACAATATCTAATATTAAATAGTAATTTTACTATTTTAATATTTAATAGTAAAATGTTAAATACATCATGATTAGGGCTGTGCAATATATAAAAATTATCGAAATATCGCAAATGTACATATCGCAATATGCATATTGGACACAAGATAGTTATAGAAGTTCACAGAACTGATTCAGCAACATTTTTCTTCAATATCGCACAGCCCTAATCATGATTAAACAATGTGAATTTATTTTTTAAATAATATTAGGCCTACATATTTGATGAAATGATATTTATACATTTATATGGCACAAAATGAAACATCTAATCATTGAGAGAGCTGTGATCTGTTTGTGTAGGATGAAACTGGTGCTTATGTGATTGACCGAGACCCTACCTATTTTGGTCCCATACTCAACTATCTGCGACATGGGAAGCTGGTTTATAACAAGGAGTTGGCAGAAGAAGGTCTGTTAATTCACTATCACTATTAACTGTTGTCAGTCTATGCATTTTAAAAATGCATTGCCTTATTTTAATATTATACTATAATATATATTTAATAACACATCATAACCAGGGATGCATTGGTACTATATGATTATCTTAATTTTTTCTATTTATTGGTACTGTTATTTTATTAGTATTTATATACGTTTACAGTATGTATTAATATTTTGAATTAGTTTTTATTTTTATATTTTCAGTTTTAATTTGTTTGTTTGTTTCTATTTAGTTATAGAAAATTCAGTTTCAGTTTTAGTAATTTTAGTACTTTCAGTTAGTTGCCATGACAAAATTTAACATTTTCGTTTAATTTCAGGTTTATGATCTATTATTTACATGTAATTTTATTAGTTTTATTTCAAATTATGAAAATGTTTTTTAATACTTCTAGTTAACCGCACTATTAGATTTAATTGTACATTCTCATTTCCCCTATTTTTTACATTTAGATTTCCTTTGCCTTCATCTAATGCTCACTTACAAAACACTAATAATTGAAAAACACTGTTGAATATAATATTTAGCAAATCTCAAAATAAATGTTTTTCATACTGTACATTATAATGTAGTGATGCCTAAATTCACTTGTTGAATTTACAGCAATTCATTTTAGTTTTTAGTGTTTTATTTTTAATGCTTAAATAAGAATCAGTGCATATTGAATTAAAAGAGGAAATACTAAGCAGTGTTTTATTTTTCCTTTTTATTATTAAATCTCAAAATAAATGTTTTTCATACTGTACATTATAATGTAGTGATGCCTAAATTCACTTGTTGAATTTACAGCAATTCATTTTAGTTTTTAGTGTTTTATTTTTAATTTATTTGGAATTTCAATATTGGAGCATATCTAGTCGAAACAACATATAACTGTAACGAAATCCATGTTCAGTTTTTAAAAGCAAAGTGTGTCTGTGCCTTCAGGTGTCTTGGAGGAGGCAGAATTCTACAACATCGCACCGCTGATTAAATTAATCAAAGAGAGGATTCTTGAGCGAGACTCCAAGGCCACACAGGTAATGAGCAGGGCCTTTATCATTCCTCCATGTACCTTCATTTTCTAAAAAAAATAGCATTTTTTTCATTAGTATCCATTTTTTCAGCTTCTTCACTTTCTCAGCACTGTATTTCTGTCCATCTCAGTTTCTACTGTACATTAATGACTGTATTTGCTTGCTTATGCAACAGCCATCGGTTTCCCGCCCACTCTTGCTTTTCTTTCTGTACTTGCCTTTTGGCATCATCCTCTACTTCCCGCCACATTCCTTTTTTGCACTTCACCAGTCTTCACCCTCTCCCTCCGTCTCTTATACAGCAGGTACCACCAAAGCACGTGTACCGGGTGTTGCAGTGTCAGGAAGAGGAGCTGACCCAGATGGTGTCCACCATGTCGGACGGATGGAAGTTTGAGCAGGTCAGCGTGCGTGCCTGCCGAAAACCCCACCCCGGACTGCTCTGGACTGTGGGTTGGACTGACACCGAGTCGATTACCCTTCCCCTGATCCTAATGCTCCCAGTGTCCAATTCTCCCCTCAGATTCAGAGTACAGTAATGTAGCTAAAGTGTGAAATTAAACTTTTTGACATTTGCATTCAACTGGATTTTACATGGTCAGTTGCACCAAACCCTCTTTTTTTGTAAAATGACAAATTATATGATATGATTCCAGCTTTAGCCTTGTTCAGACTGTCAGCCCAAATCTGGTTTGGTGCATATCCGGATGGAATCTGATTTGAATAACTGACTGTCCACACAGTGTATTGCAACTGTTCATATCCGATTTGTGTGTCCATAAGCACTCTTTCATTTTACTGAATGTGCTATGGTTTCTATGGGAATGGCTTTGCGTTGTTATGCCAACACTCAAAACAACAATAACAGCAATACAGATGTTGTCTTATGACATGACAACATGTTGCCGTCGCGCAGGATTATTATTATTATGGATTTTGTTTTATGAGGGAGCGGCAGAATCGCAGGAAGTTGGAATGAGCGTCTTTATAGCGTCTGCCATCTCCGCTGGTTTCAAAACTCAAAGAGGTGCATATACTAGCAGTATATTCTGCTTGACAACACCAGCTTGTTTCGGCAAAGATGTTCATCATGTTTTCTACAAAAGCGTCTGATGTTTTACGTGGCGTGAAAACGTGAAAAAGCTAGGCTAAATCCGATCTGAGCGGTCAGGCGGAAACAGATTTCCAGGAATGCGATTTGAATAGGATTAGGGCTGAAACGATTAGTCGACAACATTATCGACAATAAAACATTGTCGACAAATATTTTTGTTGTCGAGTCGTCGTTTGAGCTCATATGACCTAATGCAGTGTTTCCCAACCGGGGTGCAGTGTAAAAAAATCATTTTTTAAATATTTTTAAATTGCTAAAATGTTAAAAAAAGCATCTATTATAATATCCATTTCTGATGTCGCCAATAATTAGAGATGCACCAGGCCAAGTGGCCAGCGGCAGACAGTGAGCCTATGTTTGATCCAATTTAGCCTTCTCAAATCATCAGAGACTTGCCTAAAATAAACTCTATAGATATAAATCAGTTCAAGCATATAACAATGTTTAAACGTTAAACCTAGATAAATGTGCGCTATATCCAATAGTTTGCGCAGAGAGTGGAAGCTGAAGCGCGCTTTGCAGGACATGGAGGCGCCAGCGCGATCACTTGCATTTTTTTTCAGTGGATACGCCGTCATTTTTGCTCATAAAGGTAAGAGTAGGCCTAATACATCATTCATAACTGTAAAGGAACCGAAACTCAGTGAATACATGCCTCACAGACATGATAAATATATCTATAGAAAGCTTGAAATGACTACTTAACGAAATAAAACAAATCAAAAACAAAAACTCTTTCATTATAATCATAATCCGTAAAATGGAAACTTATCTAAAGGCAACTTATCTAAAGGCGCGTCTAATGAGATGATGAGTCAGGATCTTCGGCAACTTCATACTTGCGACACCGACTCAGAAAACAGTCGTTTATTAGTAAATAATTCAAATATTGCCTTACTATTTCCCCCTGACATTTATGGTAATTACTTCTGCCGGTGCTTTGCGGCAAGCTTAAGCCTATTGCGTGCATTTGAACGCAGAACTGTTCAGCTGCGCTGACGGCATGCACCATGCTGCTGCTGCGGGACACTAAACACCGTTGAGCCGCTCATGACAGTTGCGCTAGCATGGTCTCGTGTAGTTTTCACTAGTGTGGTAATTTTTTTTTTCATCACTAACCGATGGATGTCTAAAATATAAAAATAAGGAGAAGCCTAAAACAGACCCGAGGCCCGGCCTGTGTCTGACGTGAAAATTGGCCCGAAGCTTGGCCCGAGGGGCTGAAATGCAGGGCTCTACCGTTCATGCTCATCGAAACAGCAAAGTCCACTCAAAAATCGAGCCGTCAGGAAACATCAAAGTAGTACAGTATTGTTTCTGTTTGCAATAGCCCTACTGTGCTGTAACATGGTGTGGTAGGTAGGCTATATGGGCAACTCTGGAAACGCTGCCCTCTCATTCATTGATCTGCTAACCGCTATGTTATGCTCACGTGTTCTGATAATAATAGCTTTCTAGGACTAAACATTATTTGGATAATTGGCAAAAAAAAAAAACTAAATCTCTTAATAGCCCTACTGTTAGACCTACCTGAAAAACTAAAAAGCAATTTATTTCATTTTTTTGGCTTATCGTTATTTTTTTTATTTGTGCCATCATTAGTCATTTCTTTATTTGTTCTTATTTTATTACTGACTGCTTACTTGTCATTTTTTATTCAATTCAAAGTTTGAAATCAAGCTATCTCGTGCTACTGCAACAAAATTATCGAACAAAAATACAGTGAGTGAGCAAACATTTGTGAGATTTTAAAACGCATCTGATTACAGCGACGTGGATGTTTTTACGAGCTCTGCAGTTCATACTCCAGTAAAGTCCAGTCGCGTCACATTTATTTATTTAGTACTTTATGCCAGGGGCGTAGATTACGCGGGGGATGTGTCCCCCCCCACTTTTAATATCATGTAAATTCGTCCCCCGCACTTTTTCGGGCAAGTGTGTTCGCATAGAGGTTTTCAAGAGCCGGTGTGAATAAATATAGATTTAAATTCAAAGAGACAGGATAGTCTGTGCATGATCTGATGTTTTATTCGGACCCAGAATAAGGCGAGATGAACATCACGGAGCGCTAAACATTCCGCGCAGTGTATGTTACATTCATACTCGTAGCCGGAGGGCGCTCTCGCGCAGAAAGTCGTATGAGGAAATTCCTAATATGGACAAAAGCGTCCAGTATATATATAACATTTCTGTCCCCCTCACTTCTGAAATGATGGCTACGCCCCTGCTTTATGCAATAGATAGCCTTAAATCAAGCAGTTTTACATCATTAAACATGAAAAACCAGAGTCAGTGTCGCTTTCAGTTAGAATTATAACTTGATTTTCTGTTATAACGCAGCTCTCCAGTGTGGAGCTAGCTAATGATAAAATATTTTTATTAGTGGGGTTAAAAACCATTTCATTAAAGTAATAGTTTGGTTTGCAGAGATCAAAGCTTGATGTAGCTCAGGACTGTTTTGATGACTGTTTTGATTGTTGTGAATAAAATAGTTTATCCAAAAATAAAACATCTTAACACTTAACCTTTAAGTAGTCAATATACGGTAGCTTATGACAAAATTTGATTGATGACTTTGATCTTTGACCCATAATTATATCCATATGCGACCTTTGACATCATAATAATTTCCATATGCGAAAACCGGCGTGCGTGAAATCCGGCCGTCAACCTGTTATAACGCAGCTCTCCAGTGTGGAGCTAGCTAATGATAAAATCTTTTTATTAGTGGGGAAAAAACGTTTAATTAAAGTGATAGTTTGGTTTGCAGAGATCAAAGCTTGATCTAGCTCAAGACTGTTTTGATTATCATAACCCTATAAGGTATTTTAAGAAAGATTGTTGCGAATAAAATAGTTTATCCAAAAATAAAACGTCTTATCACTTAACCTTTATTTTGTTTCTTATCCATATGACAAAAAGAGATTTTAGGCAGAATGATGTGTCATTTAGCTACTTTCTCATATAGCTAATTAAATGGTGAATAAGAGTTTCTCTGCCATCTCATTTTGTGTGCCAAATATATTGTTAGATTAATCGATTACCAAAATAATCGTTTGTTGCAGCCCTAAATAGGATTTGAAACCACATACGAATGTAGCTCGAAAAGGATTTGCAAAAATCGGATTTCATGTAGTTCGTTGCCGTTCAGACTATCTAAATATGATCGGATTTCAATCGGATTTGCACAAAAATCGGATTTGGGCTAACAGTCTGAACGAGGCTTTTGTCAATATGTAGTTTTGCATATCCCCACTGATATTGTGCACATAAGACAGGAGGAAAACTACATATTTTGAAGTAATAAGGCTGATTTAACATCTACTATATACCAATCAGATGTGTTTCTTAAAGGGACAGTTCACCCAAAAACTAAAATTGTCATTTTACTCCGTGTCATACCGTTCCAATCCTGTATGCATTTCTTTTTTCTGTGAAAGACAAAAGCATTTTTGTGGAACATTTGTAACCGAACAACATTGGTGCCTATTTCCATTACATGAACAAATACAAACTAACAGATATTTCTCAAAATATACTTTTGTGCTGCACAGAAGAAAGAAAGTCATACAGGTTTGGAACGACATGAGCATGAGTAAATTTTGACAGAATGTTCATATTTGGGCAAACTATCCATTTAAACTAGCCTCTTTCAATGCAGTGCTCATGGTGTGAGAACTGAAAAACAGCATGAGACATGATGCAACATCCAAAAATATCCATCTGCATATATACATAGACAAACATTTAAATAGGCTATATCAATGCTAAGTAAGGGATAATGTACATCAAGCCAGCATTGTTTTGCAATAACAACTGGCTGGATGTACATTATCCTGCTTATTAAATGGTTACTTGCCACGTAAGTAAATAATTAGACATGAAATATTGATTTGAGTTGAAATATTTGAACGCAAAGCTTCTGTGAAGAAAGTAGTTGCTAGCAAGTGGCAAGTTCAAACTAGATGGAAATTTAAGGGATACGGTGCAGTCATACCACTTATTGCACAACATTTCACCACATAAATAATTTAGGCGATAAAAGATATTGATTTAAGACTAAACTCATTTAAAATCTTATCAGTTTGATAGTTATCTTATAATCAATTAAAGTGTACATAACAATTGTCGCAAAATGGCAGCAGCTTCGTTTGTATGAAACGAGAGAGCAAGTCTGCAATACCAGGATGACATAATGAAATAATTGTACGCATAATATTGAATTGAGTTTCAGTATTTTATTAGCTAACCAAACGCAAAGCTTCCACCAAGAAAAAAATGTTCCCAGCAAGCGAATATCGCTGACTGCAGTTACCTGGATGAGCCTGTGTTACTAGCTTTAACCGGTTGTTATCGTGGAATAACACAACTCGGAATTTCGCGACTGACCACACTATCAGCACTGTCAACACACTAAACTCCTCG